CAGAGAACCTGACAGAGGACCTGACAGAGAACCTGCAGCTTTCATAAAGGAGAATTCTGTGGATGTGTCTCTTCTCATCCTGAACTTTTTTCCTTCTTAAATCCTTCAGTTTTCTTTAAATCCACACTTTACTGCCACAAACTCTGCTCTGATTGGTCCGAACTATGGAGCTATTATTGTTTCAATAATATTTGTGTGTACGTAACCAGATTTGTGTGTGCGTAACCAGATTTGTGTGTACGTAAAAAGATTTGTGTATGCGTAACCAGATTTGCGTGTACGTAAAAAGATTTGTGTGTGCGTAAAATAAATATTTGTGTGTGTAAATAGATTTATGTGTACGTAAAAAGATTTGTGTGTGTGTAAAAGAAATATTTGTGTGTACGTTAAAAAAAAAGTATGTTTTACACACAAGTTTTTTTTTTACACACAGATCTTTTGACGCAGTCCTGCCTTCGCAGATTCACAAGTTTAACTTGGACTGTGTGTGTGTAAACAGATTTGTGTGTAATTTGACATTTGTATCTGTAGCAGAACAATCTGTGTGTAAATAGCCACGTTGTACGAAGAGAAGAACGGACAAAAGCCTCAGTTTTACACACATCTCTTTTTGACACACCTCTGCCGCCAAGCGTGTGTCAAAAAGATTCATAAGTGTAATGTGTTTGTTCTAGCAGTACACCAGCAGATGGTGCTGTTGTAGCTGGTTATTACCTACACGCAAACAAACCAAAGAGTTTGTTTCACTAAAGTGTAGATTCAAAGAAAACCAGGTTCTCTGTCAGGTTCTCTGTCAGGTTCTCTGTCAAGTTCTCTGTCAAGTTCTGTGTCAGGTTCTCTGTCAGGTTCTCTGTCAGGTTCTCTATCAGGTTCTCTGTCAAGTTCTCTGTCAGGTTCTCTGTCAGGTTCTCTGTCAGGTTCTCTGTCAGGTTCTCTGTCAGGTTCTCTGTCAGGTTCTCTATCAGGTTCTCTGTCAGGTTCTCTGTCAGGTTCTCTGTCAGGTTCTCTATCAGGTTCTCTATCAGGTTCTCTGTCAGGTTCTCTATCAAGTTCTCTGTCAAGTTCTCTGTCAGGTTCTCTGTCAGGTTCTCTGTCAGCTGAGGTCGAGCAGTTTATGTTTACATTGAGTTCTATGGTGGAAAATGTCTGTGTAGTCCACTGAATCCAGTCTTGTTTAGTCTGCAGTACGCGAGAATCCTTCAGCTCCAAGCTAGTACCACCCTATCCAGTTATTATAATAGATCCATGTATCATACAGTGGTGTGAATGACAGGATTTTGAAAATAGGAAAAAAATATCATAAACAGCTGCGGTAGTGTGTCTTGTCAAGACAGTAGGTTTTGGTTTGTTTGCGTGTAGGTAATAACCAGCTACAACAGCACCATCTGCTGGTGTACTGCTAGAACAAACACATTACACTTACGAATCTCTTTGACACACGCTTGGCGGCAGAGGTGTGTCAAAAAGAGATGTGTGTAAAACTGAGGCTTTTGTCCGTTCTTCTCTTCGTACAACGTGGTTATTTACACACAGATTGTTCTGCTACAGATACAAATGTCAAATTACACACAAATCTGTTTACACACACACAGTCCAAGTTACACTTCTGCGAAGGCAGGACTGCGTCAAAAGATTCGTGTGTAAAAAAAAAAACTTGTGTGTAAAATATACTTTTTTTTTCAACATACAAACAGATCTATTTACACACACACAAATCTGGTTACGCACGCACAAATCTGTTTACGCACACACAAATCTGTTTACGCACACACAAATATTTCTTTTACACACACACAAATATTTCTTTTACACACACACAAATCTGGTTACGCACGCACAAATCTTTTTACGTACACACAAATCTGGTTACGCACACACAAATCTGTTTACGCACACACAAATATTATTGAAACAATAATAGCTCCATACCGAACTCTGCCCTCTGATTGGTCAGAGCGCGGCTGAGCCCCTCTGTGCACGTTCCAGCCACACGCGGGAACCAGAAGGACCAGACAATGTCAAATATGAGTTTCCCCCTGAATGAAGGCCTCTGATTGGTCAGTCCTTATTATTTGGTCATATGTGGATTTACAAAGACAACATCACGGATAAACACAGGATCAAAGAGAAACCAAAATGTGATATCACATAAAAGTTACTGAGGAGTTTACTTTGACATGGAAAACAATAGGAGCCAAACTTCACCATGAGCACTTTTCTCTACTGGGCTTCACTGAGCTAGCGGGTTAGCATTGAGCTAGTGAATTAGCACAGAGCTAGCAGATTAGCTAGCTGGTTCTCCTCAGGGATGTATTTTGAGTCCTTTGCTTTTTACTTTGTACACTCACGATTGTGTGTCCTCCTCTGACTCAAACTTGATCATTAAATATGCTGATGACACCACCATCATCGGTCTCATCAGTGACACTGATGAATCCTCTTATAGAGCAGAGATACAAAATGTGGTTCAGTGGAGTCAAACTAACAACCTCCAGTTGAACGCATCCAAAACATGTGAACTGGTCTACGACTTCAGTCGCAATAGTTCTCATTTGCCTGTCGTAATCGACAACTCCCAGGTGCAGATCGTAGAGGAGTGCAAGTTTCTGGGTTTAACTCTGTCTAACCTGAAATGGGTTAAAAACACTGACCGAGTCGTTAAGAAAGCTCGTCAGCGTCTCTACTTTCTGCGTAAACTTAGAGAATTTACCACTAACTCTAAGATTGTGCTTAACTGTTATCGCTGCACCATTGAGAGTTTACTTGTTGGTTCTGTGTCTGTGTGGTTTGGAAACATCACAGATAAAGAAAAGAGAGCTTTAAACAAGGTGCTCCGCTCTGCAAAGAGGACCGTGGGCTGTGAGCTTCCTGTTCTGGAGGTTCTTTATGAATCCAGACTTTTAAACAAAGCTCTTAGGATTGTCAATGACTCTTCTGGCCACCCTGGGAAAGCCATGTTCCAGCTTCTTCCCTCTGGCAGAAGATATCGCTCTCTGAGATGCAGGACATCTCGTTACGCTAACAGTTTTTATCCACAAGCTGTTATCAGTGTGAACAAAGCACTTTAATGATTTGCACTTGTTTTGAAACTGTTTTAGTCGATCCATTTCACAGTGACATTTGTTTACTGTTTTATTTGTTTTATTTTTGTCTTTTAATGTTGTTTTATGTCTGTATTTGTCTGTGCACACTGGAGACTTTTGCTAATGTATTCCAATGTGTTTTTTTTTACTGCAAATGGCAAATAAACTGACTCTGAATCTGAGATTAGCAATGCTCTAGTGAATTAGCACTGAGCAAGCGGATTAGCATTGAGCTGGTAGATTTGCATTGAGCTGGCGGGTTAACAATGTCCCTCAGGCAGATCCTCAGCTGTAGGAGCCACTCACCTCTGAGATGTTGGGGATCCCGTCTACCTGCACCTCCGTGGAGCTGGTGACCTCCGGAGAGGACACATCCAAGATCTCCACCCCCAGGGAGATGAGGAGGCGCGCCCTGAAGGAGGCGCCCTCCCCCAGACCATCGTTCAGCTCCTGGTACTCGTCCATCAGGCTGTAGGTCCGAGTGGAGCCATACATGTTCACCCAGGCAGGGCCGAGAGTGGGGAGGAACCCTGAGGAGGAGAGAGGAGGCGGTGAAGAAGAGGAGAGGAACCCTGAGGAGGAGAGAGGAGGCGATGAAGAAGAGGAGAGGAACCCTGAGGAGGACAGAGGAGGTGAAGAGGAGGAGAGGAACCCTGAGGAGGGGAGGAGGTTTCTCTCTGGTCTCTCTCTCTGGTCTCTCTCTGGTCTTTCTCTGGTCTCTCTCTGGTCTCTCTGGTCTCTCTGGTCTCTCTGGTCTCTCTCTCTGGTCTCTCTCTGGTCTCTCTCTCTGGTCTCTCTGGTCTCTCTCTGGTCTCTCTCTGGTCTCTCTCTGGTCTCTCTCTGGTCTCTCTCTGGTCTCTCTCTCTGGTCTCTCTCTCTGGTCTCTCTCTCTGATCTCTCTCTCTGGTCTCTCTCTGGTCTCTCTGGTCTCTCTCTCTCTGGTCTCTCTCTGGTCTCTCTCTCTCTGGTCTCTCTCTGGTCTCTCTCTGATCTCTCTCTCTCTGGTCTCTCTCTGGTCTCTCTCTGGTCTCTCTCTGGTCTCTCTCTGGTCTCTCTCTGGTCTCTCTCTGGTCTCTCTCTGGTCTGTACCTTTGTCCCCATCGTTGGAGATCTTCTTCAGGTCCAGGAAGTGAGTCCCGATCGCGACGTCGTTGACTTTGTCCGAGTCTCGTATCTGAAGCTTCATGCGTTTGCAAAGAGGAGGAAACATCTCCGTGAACACGATCTGCTCGTTCCAGATGGGCTCATAGCAGCTCTTCTGCACCGAGGTCTTCCCCTGCACCAGACCCAAGACCACAGCCTCAGTCCTGGGTCTACAGCCTCAGTCCTGGATCTCCAGCCTCAGTCCTGGGTCTACAGCCTCAGTCCTGGATCTACAGCCTCAGTCTGGGTCTACAGCCTCAGTCCTGGGTCTACAGCCTCAGTCCTGGGTCTACAGCCTCAGTCCTGGGTCTACAGCCTCAGTCCTGGGTCTACAGCCTCAGTCCTGGATCTACACCTCAGTCCTGGGTCTACAGCCTCAGTCCTGGGTCTACAGCCTCAGTCCTGGGTCTACAGCCTCAGTCCTGGATCTACAGCCTCAGTCCTGGGTCTACAGCCTCAGTCCTGGATCTACAGCCTCAGTCCTGGATCTACAGCCTCAGTCCTGGATCTACAGCCGCAGTCCTGGGTCTACAGCCTCAGTCCTGGATCTACAGCCTCAGTCCTGGATCTACAACCTCAGTCCTGGATCTACAGCCTCAGTCCTGGGTCTACAGCCTCAGTCCTGGATCTACAGCCTCAGTCCTGGGTCTACAGCCTCAGTCCTGGGTCTACAGCCTCAGTCCTGGATCTACAGCCTCAGTCCTGGGTCTACAGTCTCGGTCCTGGGTCTACAGCCTCAGTCCTGGGTCTACAGCCTCAGTCCTGGATCTCCAGCCTCAGTCCTGGGTCTACAGCCTCAGTCCTGGATCTCCAGCCTCAGTCCTGGTCTGACCTTCTGACCAGCGAACTGGACTTGTACGTAGGGGTCCACCAGATCCTTGTTCTCCCCGATGAAGGCCTTCTTGACGTTGGCCATGAGGCTCTGGTTCATCCTGGGCAGACCCTCAGCGCGGTAAACCTTCAGGTAGTACCGTGCCCACTGCCGCTCGGCCGGGACCCCCTCCGGGATCAGCAGGTTCCTGAGGACACACAGAGGTTATGGACTGAAGGGGGTCAGCAGGACTGGATCAGGACTGGATCAGGACTAGATCAGGACTGGATCAGGACTGGGGCCTCCTCAGTGGTTGGCAGGTGTTTGGAGAACACATACAGTACGGACCATAAGTTTGGACACCTTCTCATGAGTTTTTTATTTTCATGATTATGAAAACTGTAGATTGACGCTGAGGGTCTCAAACCTATGATGAACTCATGTGAATGATGTCCGTAGTAAAAAAGTATGAACCAAGTGTAAATATGTGTTATATTCTGGTTCTTCAAAGTAGCTCCTTTTGCTCTGATACTGCTTCACTCTTGGCATTCTCTGGATGAGCTTCAACAGGACCTGAAATGGTCTCCAACAGTCTGGAAGGAGTTCCCATGATGCTTAGCACTTGTTGGTCCAGCCCCAAAACCCTCTGGACTGGGTTCAGGTTGAAAACCCTCTGGACTGAGTTCAGGTCCAAAACCCTCTGGACTGGGTTCAGGTCCAAAACCCTCTGGACTGGGTTCAGGTCCAAAACCATCTGGACTGGGTTCAGGTCCGGTGACTGTGGAGGTCATGTGACCCAGCACCATCTCTCTTCTTATTGGTCAAACAGCCCTGACACAGCCTGGTGTGGATCTACAGCCAATAGGCGTGAACAGTGAAGGAGAGAGGGTGTCCACACTTTTGCTCTGTGCTGTAAATGAAGGGGAACAACTGGAGAAAAGGAGGAGACCATTCAGGTCGGGTGGTCCCAGTCTGATCCCAGTCTGATCCCAGTCTAGTTCACTTTAATACTGCACTCTCAGAATGTGCTGTGTTTCCCAGTACATGTCCTCTCTGGTCTGTCTCTCTGGTCTCTCTCTCTGGTCTCTCTCTCTGGTCTCTCTTTCTGGTCTCTCTCTCTGATCTCTCTCTCTGGTCTCTCTCTCTGGTCTCTCTCTCTGGTCTCTCTCTGATCTCTCTCTCTGATCTCTCTCTCTGGTCTCTCTCTCTGGTCTCTCTCTCTGGTCTCTCTCTCTGGTCTCTCTCTCTGGTCTCTCTCTCTGATCTCTCTCTCTGGTCTCTCTCTCTGGTCTCTCTCTCTGGTCTCTCTCTGATCTCTCTCTCTGATCTCTCTCTCTGGTCTCTCTCTCTGGTCTCTCTCTCTGGTCTCTCTCTCTGGTCTCTCTCTCTGGTCTCTCTCTCTCTCTGGTCTCTCTCTGGTCTCTCTCTGGTCTCTCTCTCTGGTCTCTCTCTCTGGTCTCTCTCTCTGGTCTCTCTCTCTGTTCTCTCTCTCTGGTCTCTCTCTCTGGTCTCTCTCTCTGGTCTCTCTCTCTGGTCTCTCTCTGGTCTCTCTCTGGTCTCTCTCTCTGGTCTCTCTCTGGTCTCTCTCTGATCTCTCTCTCTGGTCTCTCTCTCTGGTCTCTCTCTCTGGTCTCTCTCTCTGGTCTCTCTCTGGTCTCTCTCTCTGGTCTCTCTCCCAGGTCTCTCTCTGGTCTCCCTCTGGTCTCTCTCTCTGGTCTCTCTCTCTGGTCTCTCTCTCTGGTCTCTCTCTCTGATCTCTCTCTCTGATCTCTCTCTCTGGTCTCTCCCCCTGGTCCTCACCCCTCGATGTCATCCTCGTCTTGCTCGTTGGCTTTGTGCGGCGTCTTGATGGTGTCTCCTTTCGCCACCACCGCCACGTCACACTTCACGTAACCTTTGCAACCCGCCGTGATGTCATCAGGGTCCGACAGCAGCGCCCACTTGTGGTAGAACTGGTGCTCTGCAGGACACAAGCACCATGAGACAAGGACCAGGGGCCAGGACCAGGGGGGAGGGATCGGTTGGCTCCATGGCGGCATCATCGCCTGGTAGAGGAAGAGGCAAATACGTGGAATCTTTGAAGACCGACCGATCCCTCTGTCCACTCACAGACAGAGGGCACTGCAGCAGAGCGAGCTGCAGTGTGGGCAAAAGGTGCGTCGAGGGAAAAGGGTTAGAAATGACAGTAGTGGCATCAAGAGAGGAGCCGCAGATTAATAGATTTATTGTGGTATTGAGATTTAATGAAAAGACTCAAGCTGGTGTGTTTACTCTTACTGATGACTTGGGAAGTTAGATGACATTCCTTCAGCAAAAGTATTGGCAAATGGCAATTTAATGATACATTGCGCAAATGAAGAACAACTTAATAAAGCATTGAGCATGAAAGAGCTGGGAGAGTTTAAAGTGGTCAGCGCAGGTCAAGTGATAACTGGGGATCCTGTTAGTGTCAAGACAGATGACCTAAAAATTAACGTAACCAGATTCAAAGCCACAAAAGAGGGAGTTCAAGTGAACAGTGAAGCTATCGAGTTCTCTCAAACAATTTTGCAAAGGAATGTTTTTTTCGGGTTCTTGAGCTACCCGGTGAGGGCCTACATCCCTAAACCACCGCTTCAGTTGTCAGCGATTTGGGCAAATAGCATCAAACTGTAAGGAGAAGAAGAGGTGTGCTCGGTGTGGTGGGGGCATGAGTGTGGAGAGTGTGGAGAAGGGGTACAGCCGAAGTGTTGTAGTTGTGGGGCCCATAGTGTTGCCTACGCTGGGTGTGAGGTCATGAAACAAGAGAGGTATGTTCAAAAAGTAAGAGTGGAAAAGAAAGTGTCCTATGCAGAGGCAGTGAGAGTAGTAAAGGGGAATACACCGAACACAAGTGTGGTGAGGACACCTGGTCCCCAGACTGCTCTCAGCAGAGTAATAGTTTGGTTATATACCCCTTGGCGTTAGTCACCTTTATTGCTGAGGTAGTTAATGACATGGCTGAAGTCAAATCCAAAGATGAGAAACTGAAAGTGGTTGTGAGGGCAGCAGCTGATCTGCTTGGAGTTTCAGGACTGACATGGGAAAAGGTGAGGGACAACCTCGGTCATCAGTCGAGTCGGGGATCATGATGGTATATTTAATTCTAATGGTATTACTTCTTCAATGGAACACAAGAAGTTTACTGGCCAATGGCAAGGGGTTAAAACATTTTATCAGAGGACTTGATACATTTTTTTAACCCCTTAAAACATTTTTTATACCAGGGGTCGGCAACTCCAAAGGCTCGAAGAGCCATATTTAACAAAAAACAACATCTGTCTGGAGCCTTGTATAAGGCTCATATGAAGCTAACACAGGCTGCAGCTGTATTAGCTGTATAAGCCTAACATCTAATTGACAAAGGCTACAAATACATTATAAGCATTCATGATTATCAAATGTGTGTTTTCACGCCGCTTTAAGTTTAACTTCCTTTTTTTCTCCTTCATGCAATTGTAGAAATACAGTAAATAAATCTGCTTTTTGTCTCAGAGTTCACCTGCATCACTGTCTGTTCATATCGATCACGTCACAAGCTGAAGATTGCTGGAGCTGAATTAATATCCTTAAAGTGATAGTCTGTAACTCTAAATGAATTACACATTTTAGGAAATGTGTTAAATTGACCTCCTGGCCTTAAATGTTGATATAAAATAAGTCATTTTATTAATTCTAATATTACGGTAAGTCCTGCCTTCCCTTCTCTTAGCTATAGCTCAGAATCCACAATGCCGTCCATCCATCCTATATCTATAATCATTTATATACTGAACCTATATCCATAATCATTTATATATGAACCTATATCCATAATCATTTATATACTGAACCTATATCCATAATCATTTATATATGAACCTATATCCATAATCATTTATATATGAACCTATATCCATAATCATTTATATATGAACCTATATCCATAATCATTTATATATGAACCTATATCCATAATCATTTATATATGAACCTATATCTATAATCATTTATATAATGAACCTATATCCATAATCATTTATATACTGAACCTATATCCATAATCATTTATATATGAACCTATATCCATAATCATTTATATATGAACCTATATCCATAATCATTTATATACTGAACCTATATCCATAATCATTTATATATGAACCTATATCCATAATCATTTATATACTGAACCTATATCCATAATCATTTATATACTGTTGGCAACACTTTGCGACGGAATGGGTTAAAAATCCTGCAGTGCCCGAAAGGTACCCCTGCTTAAGAAGGCACATGTGGAGGCCCGCCTAAAGTATGCCAATGATCACCTCAAAGATGCACAAAGTGATTGGGAGAAGGTTCTATGGTCGGACGAGACCAAAATTGAACTATTTGGCCTAAACTCTACACGTCGTGTGTGGAGAAAGAAAAATGCTGCCTATGACCCAAAGAACACTGTGCCCACCATCAAGCATGGAGGTGGAAACATTATGTTTTGGGGGTGTTTCTCTGCCAAGGGCACAGGGCTACTACAACGCATCAGTGGGAAGATGGATGGAGCCATGTACCGTGCAGTCTTGAGGGACAACCTCCTCCCCTCTGCCAGGAAGCTGAAAATGGACCGTGGTTGGGTCTTCCAACATGACAACGATCCAAAGCATACAGCAAAGGCAACAAAGGAGTGGCTCAAGAGGAACCATATTAAGGTCATGGAGTGGCCCAGCCAGTCTCCGGACCTCAATCCTATTGAAAATCTATGGAGGGAGCTGAAGGTCCGAGTTGCCAGGCGACAGCCCACCAACCTGAATGATTTCGAGAGGATCTGCAAAGAAGAGTGGGCCAATATTCCCCTGATATGTGTGCTAACCTTGTGGTTAACTACCACAAACGTCTGACCGCTGTGCCTGCAAACAAAGGCTTTGCCACCAAGTATTAACTGCTTTTGTCTAGAGGGATCAAATACTTATTTCCCTCAATGAAACGCAAATTAATTAAAATATATTCTTGAAAGTTATTTTCTGGATTTTCGTTTTGATATTCTGTCTCTCCATGTTAGCATACATCTACCATTAAAAGTATAGAATGATCATGTCTTTATTAGTGGGCAAACCAACAAATTCAGCAAGGGATCAAATACTTTTTACTCTCACTGTATATATGAACCTATATCCATAATCATTTATATATGAACCTATATCCATAATCATTTATATACTGAACCTATATCCATAATCATTTATATATGAAACTATATCCATAATCATTTATATATGAATCTATATCCATAATCATTTATATATGAACCTATATCCATAATCATTTATATATGAACCTATATCCATAATCATTTATTTATGAACCTATATCCATAATCATTTATATACTGAACCTATATCCATAATCATTTATATACTGAACCTATATCCATAATCATTTATATATGAACCTATATCCATAATCATTTATATATGAACCTATATCCATAATCATTTATATATGAACCTACCATACCCCCCTCCCTGACCCCGCCCCCCTCTGACAGCCACATTGGGCCGGCAGTCGGAGGTGCTCATCCCGAGAAAAAATCCGTGCTTTATACAAAGCACAATGTGTCTATCCAACTGTCTGTGAAACTGTATGTTATTGCTCTCTGCTGTTTATTCTACTGTTTGTCGCATGGCGCCGTAAAGATGGCGCCGTGGCAAGAGCTCTGGTGTGTGTCGTCTTCTCTGTCTGGTGCACACCGGGGTAGTCTTGCACAGTTTTTCCAATGTGGTTTTACTGCAAATGGCAAATAAATGAATCTGAATCTGAATCTATCCATCCATCCATCCATTTTTCTTCCCCTTAATCCATTTCTGGGTCGGGGGGGGTGGCAGTCAGAGCTGCACCCAGTACACATGGCACCATGAATCTGAATCTGAATCGGATAATCATTTATATATATTGTTTTTATTGTGTTTTAATCTTTTGTGTGATTTTAATGTTTTAATTGTGATTCTGGTGTTTGTTTTATGTGATGATTTGTGATGTGGACTGTGAAGCGCTTTGTGTTGCCCTGTGCATGAAAGGCGCTCTACAAATAAACTTTGATTGATTGATTGATATATATGAACCTATATCCATAATCATTTATATATGAACCTATATCCATAATCATTTATATATGAACCTATATACATAATCATATTATATACTGAACCTATATCCATAATCATTTATATACTGAACATATATCCATAATCATTTATATATGAACCTATATCCATAATCATTTATATATGAACCTAATTTCTACAACACTGCTAAAAGAGATTAGCTCTTCTAAGGATAATACCAATTTGATTAATGATGTACATTCATCCCAAACTGTCTGAGAGGAGGAAGTGACAGCACTTCCTGTTTCGACAAATGTATTTGGAAAACTGACCGCCATAATAATGTTCATATTAACCATTTGTCTTTCTGTGTTCAGTTTTGTTTCTGAGAATGTAGAATAGACATGAGCAAAATCACACGGGCACAAAGCCACTGTTAATGAAAGCAAAACCATAGTATAGAGGGATTTATTAGATAAAAACATATGTTTCGAATGTGGTTGTGTGTTGTTTGTTTTCCCTGTATTAATTCTTCACAGACATCGAGCCAGAATTAAGATGCTGGCGATGATGGAAGAGCTCCCCAGTCCCGTCACCCAGAAGGGTTATTGAAAGATTGTGACCTAATTGTTTAATATAGGTCAAGAGAGGGAAATGTTGTATTAAATATAGACTAAAAAGCAGATGTGAATTTTACTGACCCTGATTTGAACTCTGTCTCTTTCCTAAGCAAAAAGACCTGGTAGGGGTGGGCGATATGGCCTAAAATTCATATTGCGGTATAATTTGGGACACAGACGGTAGACGGTATATATTGCGGTATAATTTGGTGTGAATTTCAATATAGGTCTAGCAGGTTCTTGCA